TATTACCTATGCAATCAAAGAATTGTAATTAACTCTAATTCTTGTTGAACCAATCAATATCAAAATGCAATTTTGACATATTCTGAACTGCACCAGTAAAAATTTCATTTGCTTAAATTAACTGCTATGTATGGAAGAATTATCCCTTCATGTACAACTTACATTATTCAGAAGAAAAAGACAAAAATAGGTAAAACGTTTTTTGTGATTATTTTACAGAAATATTGTTAACATAAGGGAATGTATTAAACAATTCTATACTACATTGAACAATCTTACATCAACTCTTTGTCTCTGAGAATGAACATCATCAAGGTATCAGAAGCTACTTGAAACCAAAAGCTTTAGCTATATTAAGTATAAGAAAACCATAAATAAAGTTATTAACTGTAATGTCAGAACCTAAATCAGTTGTTTAACTTACACAAGATGCCATTAATCATTATTTTGATAGTCATTTATTCTGCGATGAGTTTATATCAGATTCATGGTTCCATAGTAAAGACTTAAGCAGTCAGTCTTCAATGACTCAGTATGTCTTTGTAAGAACACATAATTAAAATTGCTACATAATATTGCCACTATGTAATTGGGACAAGTGCACAAAATTAAAATGTATGGTAAACATTACTAGATTTAACTCCCAAACTAAATATATTTAATTAGAAGCAAATCCCATCAAGTTCAAATGAACTTTACTTTCTTATTAAGTGATTCTAAATCTTAATGCAAGACTTTAAATGCATTGATTATGGCATGTAAGTCATATACTGTCTTTCCCTTACTGATAACATTAATCAGAAATCAAATTTCCATTTGCAGGATGGGATGCTTTAGTTTACCCTACAGTATTCCTGGATCCAGCTCTAGATGGTGCCTGCCCAAAAGCATGAATAATTTCCTGTCCAACTTCAAAATGTACAAAAAGAAAGAGCAGAAATAGAAAAAAAATGGCACAGATGAGGAAAAAAATCAATATAAGAAGTAAATAATAGAATAAATGAAATAGATTACTTATGACAGAAAGCTAGACTATAACAGACACACACACATATATGAAAGTCAACAAAAATAAAGGCAGCAAAAGCAGTTATACAAAAGTGTATAGAAACAGTTTGACTAAACACAAGCAGTTAATGCAAGAACTGTACTATTATTTTTTCTAACACTCGGTAATAATTAGAGAAACAATTAAAGTGAGCTGCTGTAAATGTGTGTGCATTGTATTGTATTGTACTGTAATACCACCCTTTTTACTAAATTCCCTAATGCCTTTCTATCAAAAAGAATACCATGCACCACAGCTCACATATACACTCCAACCTGTCTCAAATTTTAAAAATGGAGATAAAACAAAATAACACCATTAAAATATATCTGCAAAACTGTCTGGAAACAACCAATTTAAATCTCTAATTCAGCAGTGGACCAAGCATATCCACAAAGGCTGGGCACAATTTGCATAGGGCATAAGCAGAACTCTCAGCAGATGTAGGTGAGTAGCCAGCGCAGCTGTTTTAGAAAGGAAGACATATGCTTATTTGTTTCCAGACACCTTGCAAAGAACACCTCACAGAAAAAAATAATAATAAAAAATCAAGTCACCTTCAAGTTGGTCTCAGTTCTTGATGGTCACATTCATAATTTTTCCTTGAGATATGGAAGTGATGTACCACTGCCTTTTCTGGGATTCTTATTTTGACACCCTAGTCAACCTGCAGCCCTAGATTTTTCAGACGGTCTCCCATTCACTAAGATGAATCCTGCTTAGCCTTCTAAATTAGTGAAAGTTAACAACATTCAAAGCAGGATCTAAAGAAAGGCATATATGTATCACTATGATCAGGTACATCATTTGCAAGATCAGTCATGGTATACCAGGGGTGTCAAATTCCTATCATCACGCCAGCATCATGTGACGTATTGGGAGTTTTTCCCCCTTCGCTAAACTGGGCATGGGTGTGGCCAGTGCATGACGCATCCGGCCCGTGGATCGGGAGTTTGACAGCCCTGTGGTATACTAATATTGGCTGCTGCTACCTGCCACTGAAAGCTAAGTACACAACTCCAGAGCTAAATCTAGGAGCATGATCAGATTTCAAGCAGATCTGTTTAAAACTGGCCTGGAAACCTGTCCACTACAGACTGAATATCTGTTTCTTTAAATTTCTATTTTGGCTACTCAGTGACTGTTTTAATTTTTTAGTTTGATTTGCACATTACAGATAGTTCTCAACTAACATTTGGTCATTAATGATCATTTGAACTTATGACAGACCTTCCCAGAGTTACTTACAACCTATTTCCAGAGTTACAATGGCCATACACACATCTGAGGACATGTGGCCACATTTTGGATACTTAGCAACTATATGGCCATTCACAGCATCCATGATCATGTAGCCATGATTTGTGACTTTTTTACCGGTTTCCTGTAAACGACCATGATAAACAATGATCTTAGCTTCGAATCTGGTCGCATGATGCCTCAAATTACAACCACAATGACTTACCACCATGGGATTCGCTTAACAACTGCCGTAAAATGGTTGTAAAATTATGTCTGATCCAATAGATGCCTTAACTTAAGGTCGTGACTTAGAACTGAAATTCTAGTCCCAGTTGTGGTCATAAGTCGACTACCTGAAGCTATCACTTACAGTCTACTGAGTTTTGAGCAAACTGAAGCTGGAGGAATAAACACTAATCACAACCATTATTTTATTTAAACCCATTTCCCCCGTTATATATTTACATAAAACCAGAAATAACTTGATAATAGTTTAAATTTGCCAATGGCAAACTTTTTTTCCTGGTTTTTTTTTTTTTCATGTATCTCTTTGCACCTTTTGGTCCTGAATTCACACAGTAAATCCCCAATTTTCTGGTTTAAAAATCGTAACAAATTTTGTAAGTCAAGACCACATTTAGGATGAAAAATTTCAATAATCATGCCAAATAATCTCAGATTCTTCAGCTGTCTAAAAATCTGAGACCATACTGTGTTTTTTTTTCACTATGTCACATTTGGAAGGACGTGTATGAACATGTACAATAACTGGCTTCATTCCAGGCTCTCGCAGAGGCTGCAGAGAAGTGATAAACTGGGAAGCATATATTACTTTTCTGTTGTGCTAAGGAGATAATACTGTCTGCTACATGAAGCTATTATGCTTAATCCATTAGTGTGTTTTTAAGTTACAGCAAAGTTGATAACTTATAATATAGCTACAGGAAAATGTATAAACTAAATAAGCATTAAATGACAACTGTATGGATGTATAAGGCAGAGTCACAAACATGAGATCATACTTCCTAGGTATGTTTATTGAAAAGTCCCTACAAATTCCATAGGACTTGTGCAAACCCTAAATAAGAAAGGAAACATGAAGCTCAAAAATTCAAAAATGGTGCAATTTTCACTCAGGATCAGTGTAGCGTTCACTACAATATTTCAACATTAAAAGCCAGCCCTTCTGCTTTTCTTACCCAACTAAATTCCTGAGACATGAACTAAACAAGACATCCATCAAGAAGTTACTTCATCCATCAAATTTAATCCTTTCCTCATTCAATTTGCAAAACCAAGTTCCCCCCCCCCAGAAGCCTTTCAGATGTTCCTAATAACCTCAAGGACTTAGAGCCCTCTCAAAGGAACCGCCCCCCCCCATTCCCAAAGGACATAAAGAGGGGAAGCATTAGGAGGGGAGGGGAGGGGAAAAAAAGTTCTGGCTACTTTTATCTTCCACGATCTGCAATGCACACAACCGACCCAGCCCAGAAACAGCCTTCAAAGCAGCTCTCTCGCTTCCGCTAGGGACTACTGACTCCTTTTTTTTTTTTTTTTTTACAGCCATTTTACACCCTTAAAAGTGCATCCTGTCTTTCAGCTCAGCCTTCATTTTGTCTGATGGTGGGGTGGAGGGTGACAGCTGACAGTCCAGGAAGAAGAAAGAGGAGGGAAAAGAGGGTCGTTTGGTTTTTTTTTTTCAGGGACCAAAAAAACCACCCCCCCCGATTTATCTCCCATTTGCTTGGAGGGGGGGGGAGAACCCGCCGTCTTCCCGCCTCCCCACCCCCGCCGAGAAGCAGGGAAAAGGCGCCGCGGCGAGAGGCGAGGGGGAAGTCCCAGCGCCGCCTCCCTCCTCCCTCAGGGAGACCGGCTCCTCCTGGAGAGGCAGGGGAGCCTGGGGACCCCTCTCCGGCAGGTCGGCCTTCCGATCGTCCCTCCCCCGGGCGGGCGGGCAGTACGATGCGGTGTCTCCCCGTCCCTCCCCCCGGGCGGGCGAGCGGGCGGGCGATCTGCGCCGTCTCTCTCTCCCTCCCCCCCCCCCCGGCAGGCCGTGCGAGCGCGGCGGGGCGGGCACTTACCGCTCCGGCAGATGGAGAAGCGGCGTCGTCCTCCTCCGGTGACGGCGGCCCGATCTTGCTGCAGGTAGCCGCCAACAGCGCCAGCGGCGACGGCTGGGTATCCTATACGCGGCGGGAAGGCCAGAGACAAGCGGGAGGGGAGGTTAGAAAGGCGCCCGCCCGCCGGCCTTCTCCTCCTTCGCCGCCGTCGCCACCGCCTCCCTCCCTCCCTCCCTCCCTCCGGACAGCGCGCGCGGCGGGGGCGCCTGCGAGTCCTGCGCTCGCGACGTGTCACCGGGCAGCACGCGGGCGCGGGGGGGGGGGGGGGGGGGAGGAGGCGTCGGGCAGCAGCCCGGCTCCGCGTTTACCTGGGGAGTTCCGGCCTCGTCAGAGGCGTCGGCCGAAGTGGCTGCCGAGGCCCCGTTTCCCTGCTGCAAATAGTCGCCGTGGGGGCCGCCGCCGCTGCTGTCCACGTCCAAGGCAGCCATTTCCTCTTGTTTCACGGGCTTCTCGGGAGCTGCGGGCATAACGGGGAAGCGAAGGCGCGGGGGGGGGGGGGGGGGGAGGAGGGGGGAAGGCGGAGGGGAGCGGGGGGGGGGGGGGGGGTGGGCCGGTGGTCGGGCGGCGGGGGGGGAGGGGAGGGGGTGGGGGAGGAGAGTCACTGACTGGAGCGCTTGCCCCCTCCCTTCCCCATCGCCCCAGCGCTCCCTCCCGCGCAGAGGAGCCCGCCCTGCTCTCCTCCTCCCGCCCGCCAAGCGCAGCCCTCCTCCTCCTCCTCCCTCCGTGCTGCCGCCGCCGCCGCCGCTGCCCCTGCCCCTCTTCTCCCTCCTCCCCCTGGCTCTGCTCCTCCTGCTGCTGCTGCTCAGTGCCGCTCGAGCCACACTCCCAAGCAGACGCCCGCCCGCCCGCCGGACCCGGGAGCAACAGCAGCAGGAGACGCCGCTGAGGCCCGTACGTACCCGTCATGGCGTGGAGGAGCCAGCGGCCAGGGGCGCCTTCTGCCGACTTGGCAGGCGGGGAGGGAGCGAGAGAGAGGCAGGAAGGAAGGAAGGAAGGAGAGCGAGCGAGCGCTGGCTGGCTGGCTCGCGGCTGGCTCGCGCTCTCTCTCTCTCTCTCTCTCTTTCCCCCCCCCCGGCGCGCGCAGGCCCCGCTTGCGCCGCCGCCGCTGTTGCTGCCACTAAGGCGAGGCGGCCGCGGCTGCTGCCGGGGACATGCTTATGGTGCGCGCGGGCGGCGGCGGCGGTGCTGCTGGTGGAGGAGGTGGTGGCGGCGGCCTGGAGCCCACTCCGGGGTTTTCCCCTATTTTGATTGACGGTGCGAGGAAGCCGAAAGGTGGGGCTTGCAGCAAGGGAAGAGGGGGCCCGGCCGACTCCGCCACCACCACCGCCGCCGCCTTGCCCGCCAGCCCGGAACTTCCGCCTTCCCAAGACGCTCCCGTCAGCTGATTGGCTGCGGTCCGCCGAGCTCCGCGCCGTCACTGGCTGGCCCGGGCTGTCGCTCGTACGCTGCGGGTGCCCCCCCCCCTCTCCTCCCTTGCCGAGGTGGCTTCCTGTTTGCCAGGGTTTGTGTGAGAGACAATGAGCGCGGCCTTCTCAGAGGCGTCCGCGCTGCGGGGGAAAGGGGACCGGGGTTTTGGTCGCCTCACGGCGGGACAGGCAGAAGCGGGACCGCTCCCTTCTAAAAGGCACCCGTAGAGTGTCCAGTTACGGCGGAGGGCCTGCGCTTGCTCTGTCCGCCGCTGATTTCCCCCTTGCCCTGCGGAAGGGCCAGGAGCGCTAGGACGGGATGCCCGTGGGGAGAGATTGGAAACTCTGCTCTCCCGGGCGCCCCTTAACTGCTCGTGACAGCGGGCTCAGGGCGGAGAGAAAACGTGGAGGCCGCGTAGCCATTGCCCTAAATAGAAAGGACAAGGAGGAACCGCGCAGGAACACAAACCTCCCCATTGAAATATCAAGACTGCCCGTTTTGGGCCCACGGATCTACCTCAGGCTTAGGTCCCAAAGGGTCGTTTTCTTCGTGTGTTCTCTAATGGAGCTGGCCTTTCCATCCCTTTTTTCCCCCTCCTAGCCATTGTTTTTAAAATCAACGGCCCAGTTCTCAAGATTTTTCTGTCACGGAGCTTGGGGGTCTTGAGTAAATAAGTGTAGTAAGACACCACGTCTAAGTTACCTTATGTAAAAGAACTAGCTTAGAACAAAAGGCCCAATCCACATTTTAAAACTGAAGGACAGAACTTCCATTGGGATTAATACTTCTGAATTGTTCCTCTGAGAAGCAATTACATCTCAGTGAACTCTGGAGAAATAACCATTGGTTATTTATAAGTGTTCTGGGGTTAATTCTCCAGTGAAGTGAAAATCAGTTTAATAAAAGGTATTTTTATATCTGCATTGGGTTTTTCCATTGCTAGAAATCCCACTCTTAAAAAAGTATGCCATAACATCCATTTTAGGCAGTTTTTTAGTTAGTGAATCTTACTGAATTTCACATGGATTTAACCCTGAAATCTCAATCTGCCATGTAGAACGCTGTGTGTTTACTTGGAGTTAAATGGGTCACAGTCTAATTCTAAACCTGTTTCTTGAAAGACCCACTTTTTGAGGTGTTAATTTCCTGTTGTTTTGGTTTTGTAAACAAGATCACAAAGCTAGATAAATGTTTAACATTCCTTTATGTAGACTGTCATCTACATCAATGTTTCTCAACCTTAGGAACTTTAGAGATATGTGGACGACAATTCCCCAGGCAGTATATAAAGTAAAGATCAATTTTAAAAGTTGCATTACAACTGAATCATTATGCATATTATCTTAAGGAGAGACCCAACATAGAAGTAAGGAGAAATTTCTTGACAGAACAATCAGTGGAATGACTTGCCTCCAGAAGTTGTGGGTGTTCCAAAACTGGAGGTTTTTAAAAAGAGATTGGACAATCATTTGTCTGAAATGGTATGAGGGGTTGGACTACTAGAAGATCTACTACTAGAAGTCCCTTCCAGCTCTGTAATTCTGTTAAGCAGTCCTTTCCTCCTTTTACAAATACTTCTCAGCTCTGAAACATCAGTTTTCACCCATTTCTCATGTCTTGATGCAGAGACCCAATTCTGTTATTCTGCATTTGCTAACACACATAGCATAGTAACTAAAGAAATTTAAAACATACAAGTTTAACCCACAACTCTGTAAGAGAATCAATCTAATGAGCATACTACAAAGAGTTAAGGAAGAACTCTTGTTTAATTAAAAATATTACCAATGCTCAAGTCCTTATTGGTTGCAGACTGATAAGCCAGATACAAATTGGAAAGAGCTTTTTTTTGTGTGTATTTTACCAGATTTAAAATATATATATTGTAATGTTTCCCTCCCTAAGTAACAATGGGGGGAAATATTTGGAGGACACTTTCAGTGGTTGAAATGAGGAACCCCCAACCTTTTAGGGCTGTAAAAGGTTGTGGTAGCTTGCCCATTCACAAAAGGATTGCTATTTGGGGCATACTCAGAGGAAACCAATTTATCAGAATACTAACTCCTCTAGTATCCCATACCCATGCCATAGGACACTCCTTACTCTTCTACTACTAATGCTAATTATGGGGAGAGGGGGGGCAGGGCAGGGAATGTGAACACAATTCCAAACAATATACAGGTATAAATGTCTATTTCTATATTCTATTTTCTATAGATAATATATATTTTGTAATTAAAATTTCTATATGCCTCTTTGTAATTAAAATATTTGTTTTTAATGTAAAACTCAAGACTGGGATCTGGCAAACTGAAGGAAAAGTGACTGAGTATATTAGTATGCCTGAGCTCCACATGCAGATGCCAGATTTAAATAGGCTAAGGGTGCTGAAGACGATCTGTCAGCTTATATTGTAGCTTTCAGAGTTTAAATTTTCTGACTTGAAAGAAATGGCCATAAAGAAAACTGAAAGCTAATATAGTGGTGGATTTCTCTTCCAAGGTTGAAGACTGATCTCAAGAGGGAAAATGATAATTCCTTTGTGGTTTATGTAGATCTTTCCAGACCTTTACTACTGTATTTTTTTCAATGTTCCCAATTTTTTTTCTTCTACTTTTACCATCATAAATTACTTCAATATGAAGTAGTGTCTGTTTTTTAAAAAAAATGCAGATCTTGAAGAAATGTCTTCAGAAAGTGAGGCTGAGGAAATACTGTCCATTTAGAGTTGCCAAATATGTTAGATAAATACCACATCCAGCAATATACATTTCATGGAACAAGCTGATGACTAAGGAAGGGGGGAATATGGGGGTTTCTCCTTATTGCTCAAATAAAGTAACATCTACAATTACAACTTTCAGGAATGGGTTCATATGTTTCAAATGGTTACTTCTATAATATGAAGGTATATTTACATGATGAATATCTTGTCCTAAAATCAATTTAGAAATGAGATCAGATGATCCATTTGTTCAACAGAAGGATTCACAGTACAGATAATAGATGTTTCAGAGTAAGGTCAACAAGTAATAGAAGCTAATTAAACTGATTGTGTGCAACTTAGAATAAAGAGTTTGCAGATGAAAAGAGAGGTGGTTGAATACTTGGCAGTGATGTAAAGATAAATTTTAGTTGCATTGCATGCAAAACACCATCCTTATAAAAATTCAGAATGAAAAATAAGTACAATAACAGAAATCTAAATAATCCCAAAAAGAATAAAAAGCATATGAGCAACCCTCTATATTAAAATTGTTTTTCCAACAATATATTTAAATAAATTGATAACTTGTATAATATAAATATTGAAACAATAGACTTGTTTAAATAGAAATTTTGTATTTATGTAGTTTGCATAGTGATACCGTAATATAAGTGGATTTATCAACAACAAAATAATGTCCAGCTGGAAGCAGTTCCTGAAAATGGAGGTAAAGAAAGCAAAAGGAGGCTTGGACCAATGCAGTTATCCCCATACATCAACAAGCATAAAACAAGTAATTTCCCCTCCTGTCTTCAAAATCTGAAAAAGTTGAAATAAAAAAGGAGATACCTGCTCCCATTGGAGACACATTCAAAACCTCTCTGAGACCCTTCGCACCATAGAATTCCCTGTCTGCTATAAAAAAAAAGGAACTTCACACTATGTCCAATATATTGCCCATGTTAAAATTCAATAGAGAGAATCTTTGAGGTGTAGCAAAGGTTTTTTTCAACATCTGTTTATAATGACAATATGGAGACTGAAAAAACCAGCTACTACTACAGGGTAGTAGGAATTGCATTGCAATTTTTTTCAAACACAGTTCCAACTTTTTCAGAGTGTTATCTCAATATATTCCCAATAGTTTTAATGCAAAGGTGGGCAAAAATGGCCATGGAAAAGTTTCTGAACAGGTTGCATGGGAGGGAAAGAGAAGCCATTGACCTCAGTTCAGCAAACCTGTTGAATATAATTGCTTCCTTTTTACAGACTTTATTCTAGGATGTGCAAAATGTCATGTGCAGAAACTGTTCCATGTATGGAACAGCTAATTGTGGAGTGGTTTGTATTTGCATTGAAATGTATGTTTGGTTTTGGCTTGGGCCAAAACGTGTATTCTGGACAGAAGTGTTTTAAAAGGAGTGAGGGAGAGCAGGAAAAAGCAAAGGATATGGGTTTCCTACAGTAAAACTCACCCACCCCGTTTCTGATTTTATAAAGGGCTTTCTTTCCCTGCTTCCCCTTAACCATCACCATTATCTTTATTTAAAGGAGGGCACTGGGATGGCTGGCACATAAGCCATGCAAGAGAAGAAGAGAGAGACATGCCAGCCTTCCTATCCTCACCCAGTTAGGCCTCCAGATGATTTTTTTTTCCCCATTTATGTTTTCAGCTGAAACCCTGAACATCTGAAGTGTTCCAGGATTCAATTTTTCCAAACTGCAGCCTTCCTGGAATAGCATAGCAGAACTTCTGAGACAATCTTTTCAGTTTGAA